CATATCAGTAATGATAATTATGTGATGTAATTAAACTAATTTTTTCAACTTATAGTTGGTCAAAAGATGTAAGCGATGAGAAATATTAAAACACTGTTGTAATTCCTACTTATTTCCGCATATTCTCTGCTTTATCTAGTTTCTTGAATATCGGAGAATGAATATTTAGACTGACTGATGATTAGATATTACGACTTTAAGTAACTTGTTAGAAAAAGTAGCAAATTTTGTCGTAATCTATATGAAAAAAAAAGCGAAAAATACAAATCAGACAAACTTCATCCAATTTAAGACACATTTAAATAATTCATATGATGTAAATTATAAACTAACAAGTCATACTAATCGGTAACTTAATGTATGAAAATTTATATTTTGACTCACTTATTCATGTGCAAAGAAATGACTTCACTTCACAGAATACGACAAACTTCATTATCAGAAATGTTTCCTTGAAAATAATGTCGAATTTCTCCAGTGTGCAGAAAATTATCATAAACTTAAATTTAACCCAGTGTAATTACACTGATACACTTGAACAAGAACTAACTGTCGTAATATCCTAAATGAACCAAGTAAAAAAAGGCATTTTAACTTATGAGAACTTTTTTTGCAAACACTATTTTTATTAGTAATGCTGGAACAGATGCCTTAACTATTTGTATTCAAGAGAATATTGACGCATTGAAAATATTCACTAGATCATTTTAATGCTGTACTTTATTATCATACAATGATTATTCGGAACGTACAACTAACAGAGAAAGACAGCAAGAATTGAAAAAATAAATTCCTGTTCCACTGAATACAATCATCACGGTCTTTGGTCATTTATCATTTTTCTCATAAGACAAATACACTTTCAACAATAGTAACGTACAGTTTATTAATTACGTTGCTTTATTTTTCACACAATTGGTTGGCCACATAAAGTCTCATAATCCGAAACTTATAATTTAAGCAACTACATGGAGTGCTATTTAAGCAATGATACGTAATTTGTTTTAATTATATTTTTTTGGTGGAGTTTTGTTTTCTGAGGTGGATGGCTTGGTCGTGGAGCTTGTTGTATCAGTAATGGAGGGAGCTGAACCTAGAAAATAAAATTCATATTATTCTGCATTAACTGTTGTTCTTTCTTTACTTAAACTTAGAACCGGGGACAAACTCTGTGATATAATTCTAATAATTCCAAGTAAATTCAGTATTAGATTAATGGTTAATAAAATAAATATCATATACTTTCGAGATCCTGAAGGGTTGAAAATTAAAGAAATAATTGACATTGAGCTGTAAATAATTAGAAATTGAGTTTTCTACTCATTGGGATTTTATAAATATATTATTATTGATATTATTACCAATCCAAATGCAAGACCTTGCTTCCTCATTTATTTTCAGTACATGATCCCACAACATGATAGAGAGAAAATAAAGTCAATTGTTTATGAAGAACAATAGGTGTTCATAGTAGTTCAGCACTTTTATTCTAAATTTATATGAAGAATAAAATGCGTTTCAGTTCTATCAAAGTAGATAAATGAAATATCTTGTAAATAATATAAAACAATTTAGAAGTTGAAACAAATTCACTGTCTATTTACATGCAAAAATATGTTAAAACAATAAAAATGGTCTTGTTCGTTACATAGAATGATTAAGAAAATATTGGCAATGTTATCTTAAAAATTGTATACAAAACATCTTGCTTGGGCTATTTTTGTTGCACATATCATATTCCAGTAGCTCATATCTCGCTTGTTATCATGTGGGTGATTGTGAGGCAACAAATTAATTTAGTTTATGTACAGCAGTCAGAAATAAGCGGAGTAATTCAGGGAAATAAAATCAAGCATCGTATAGTAGTTTGAGATGTACTGACAGTTGGCAGCCAAATACATATAAGATGTACCAAAGTATTAGATTGAATCTGATAGATTGGTTGTTTAAATTTCGATACTACCTTCAAACATTTATCTGTTTTTTTATCAGAATGGGGATTTGTGGAGATTATGATTATTTAAATAGTCGAATTCATGAGTCGAATTATACTAGACCACCATTGAAAACCTGAAAGCGCTTGGAGGTCATTTCATCCTAGTATGGGACTTCCATGTGAGTATTCGTGGATGCGCACTGCTGAAGAGTCCCATAATAGGACGAAACGGCCGTCCATTGTTTCCAGTTTTTCAGTAGTGGTATAGCTTATATCGACTCATGAATTCAAATTTTTTTAGGCAACTAATAAATCTTGTCGAAAAATAGTAAAATAACAAAACTTATATGCTTGTTTCTTTGCAACAAGATATGGTGGTTTTTATTATGAAAACTGTTAATGCTTTACAAATTAAATATTATACGGTATAAATTCATTATTATTAATACTTCATTTAAGTGCTTTGATTACTGAAAAATATACTACGTGCTTTTTGTAACATCCTTCTATATTCAATTTGTTTCATAAATACAAAATAGGATATCATATAGATCACTTTACCCTATTGGCAACGAAATTTCAGTAGTTGTATAATGATAAAGCAATCAGGAAAGCACATTCATATAGTAGTAGTGCTAAGAATAATAATAATGAATGCTATTATCTAACTTAATAAGTGAAATATTATACACTGAATATATGAATTAAAAATAAGCAGTATATTGTGTATTGACTAAAGTATATCTTAACATTCTTTCTATAGTAAGTAGCCTATGTTTGTTAAATAAACTACACCGTTGAACAACAATTTTATCAGTATTATTGTTACGTAATATATTACGAGAAAAAAGTTATGGAAATATCTCAGTACTAACTACTTTCGGTTTTCAATACGTTTCCAGTAACCTTAAAATCATTAACATTACTGACCTGCCTTTCATATTGTACAATGTAAAATAAGATATTGGAATGCAATGTTTATTAATTGAAATATACGATAAAAACAGAGTAAAGAAGTAGATAGAGGTTCAATAATATAACAATAAAATAGAGATATATGTTATATGGTTGGAAGTCGTTGACAAGAAACTATAGATCATGGTTTCGTGTTAGCTGGTACACGTCAACAAGAAGGAGTCATAACCTTCAGAGATCTGATGCCCCTTGTAGGACTCAAGTACTAGTCACTCAATTTCACAGCCTAAGAAAATATCTCTGAGTTATTCTGGTTTTAGGAAAGAGATATTCATAAATGACCGACCATGGCATAATGACCAATTCAACCAATATGTTCAAATCTTGCAGAGAGAATCAGACTACTTAACATATCAGGTACACCTTGAAGAAATGTACCGTTAAGTACCAAACCTCCTGTTGACTAATTCAAATCACCCAACACCTCAACATAGTGTTCGCATTATTCAGTCTTATATATATATATATATATATATATATATATATATATATATATATATATATATATCAACGAGTAGAAAAATAGTATTTCTGATGTGGCTTACAGTAGGTTACGAAACGTCAGAAATACAGTTTTTATACTCACTGGAATACAACAAAAACATATTTAATATACGCTTTCATACAATAATTGAAAAGAAAGGTGCAAAAAATCTAATTTAAACATAATAACATGAATTTGTCAATAAACTGTACTGTTGGTAAATGATGAAGGTAGTTCAATATATTATATAAGTCTGTTACAATATAATTTACTTGTTAGATTGAGTTATACATGGGTATTTACGGTTTTATAAACTCGCACATAAATTGTAATTATTAGTTTAGTTTACTAAGAATAGGTAGCAATTAATCAAATTGAAGGCTAATTTACGTTCCACCTATATTTTTAACAGTTATCTTGTGACGTACATCAAGTTTTTTCAGGCAGAAAAATGATCTACCTAAAATAATCATCAAGAATTTAACGTACTTAATCAGTATATTCGGAACTAAATAGGTGAGTCAATTAATAATCTCCTTGATTGTGACTAAAACGAAATCCATTTTTTACAGTTATGTAGCAAAGTACTATAATCTTGTTTAAAGACGGTGTCAGTGTATAACCGATAAGAAACCGTTTATTATTTTCTATTGGTCAAACTAAGAAGCTGATAACAGAAATGTATTACTTGGTGAAGGTCGATATATCCCATGGAACTTTTCGTTTAGGTAAAATAATTGTGTTTAAACCGTATTCTCATCATATTAGCTAATAATGTATAGAATCACTACACAGTACATACATTTGTAAATCGATATAAATTTTTTTGAGTTACTAAGACTTAAAGTGATTCTGTTGAGTTGTCTTTAAACGCTATTAAAAATGTTGGATTTCTCTTCTATGAAGTTTTATACAAGATAATAATTTATGAAATCCACAATCGTAAATCTGATACTTTGCGAAACAAAGTAAAGACAACGTCAATATAAACATAATCCCCCTCTCTATTTTGTAGTTCTTCTATCACCAAGATAGTTTAATTGAACCCGGTTACAGTGAAACCAAGTATATGGACAAAACTTAACTAGTGTTTAGTAACTTAATCTTCTTTCAGGCTTTTTTATGGAAATTTATTTGTACAGCTTATCAGCAGTCTTATAACTTCTTATTAAAAGGGTTTAAATAAAGAAAATGCGTGAAGGCTATTTTTACGAATGAACTATAACTGCGTAAATTTTGATATATTGGAAGTGTATTAAAGGTTTAATTCTGTAAGAAACTGTGACAACTATTATTGACGATGAACAATATACTGTGTAAATAATGAATATGATTTTTATGTAACATCTACAGGATGTGTGTAGTCATCTTATCAATCGACTTATCTTTACTTGTGCAATATGACAAGCAGTAGTAGCAAGTATGAGTAAAAATAGAATAATGATATCTTTTTTTATGTAAATCTATGTATGAAATCATCTGTGAGATTAGGCATGGATAAAGAATATTCTTAGACAATCTCAGATTAAAAATCAACTTGTATTCAATAGTCCTTATTTGTTTAATTATCCAACATTTTGACAAAAAAATACCCAACTCTAAAAAATGTTCAGTTATCAGTATGAATGTAACCGTACTACTACTACTACTACTACTACTACTACTACTACTACTACTACTACTACTACTACTACTACTACTACTACTACTACTACTACTACTACTACTACTACTACTACTACTACTACTAATAATAATAATAATAATAATAATAATAATAATAATAGTTATATACGGGCATATATGGACATCCATAACAGAAAATAATAATATGGAGGTAATAATACTAAAAATAATAATAATAATAATAATAACAAATATCCGATAACCATACTGTTTATAATTATAGCCGTAACCATTATTAGTGGTGCTTCTATCCACACTACTGACATTATTATTATTATTATTATCATTGTTATTATTGTTATCACTATTATTATTATTATTGCTTTTCATGGTTACTAATGTAATTATGGGTCCAATAATATTACGATTAATAATTGTTTTTATTATTATTCTTACCATTATTATTGTTAATATTATTATTATTGTTATAATTAGTTATGGATTAAAAACAAAAATAGTAATAAATTACGAGGGTAATAACAATAACAATAATAATAATAATAATGACCATAATAATAAAAATAGTAGCAATAAAAATAATAACTTAGAGAGAAGAAAATCAATCGATTACATTATTGTGAACCTTTTATATATACATATATATGGAGAGAGAGAGAGGGAGGGAGAGAGAAACAAACGCACACAGTCGTCATTACTTTAGACATAATAGCAGGATGTTTGTATATAACGTATAGACTTAACTAGATGAACATATACCTGTCAGCTTACCACAATACAAATAATTATATTTCACTCTCTTACTATCAAGGATAATAATAGTAAGAACATTACAATTACTATTAGTAGTAGTATTAAACATAAAATTTCGTGAAATTACATTAGACCATCACATTTTAAAAGGAAACAAAGCTGCAGTTATAATGCTGTCGTTGAAATTGTCTGATTTACTTTTAGTAAAGAACTCCAAATTTAAAAATTATATGATGGAAATGTAAAAAAAAGGTTAAATGATAAAAAGTTTATTAAAATTATATAAGTCACGCTTATCAATTCCAATGAATTTGATGTACTTTTTATTTTCTCTTAGGAGGGAGTGAAATTGACATCAATGTAATGGTAAAAAAAAGGGTGATGGACAATTTGTTTATTGACAGTTGTATTATTAAGTTGTTTTTTTTAAATTATTAATTTATTCGATAACATCCTTAGTTTTTGTGGTTAACTAGACAGCTCTAACCACGATTTGATATCGTGTAATATATATATATATATTCTGGACTAACAGTAATTGAATGTTACTCTCAACTGTTACTCCACATTTATCATGTCATTAGTTAACCGGTCGTTGATACTGAATAAATAGTCATGAGGAGCTAATTAGTACTCGGATTAGATTAGTACAGGTGCTCTCCTGTCTCATGATCTTATTTCACAGACTAAAATACCTAGACAGGAATATCTATTAATTTCCACAGTCACATCAAACTGTTTCATGAACTTTTAACAGTAGAATTCTCAATCCCATTCAACACATTCAAGTGTGTCCACTGTGTTCTTTATCTCCTGTCCTGATCCAGTCGTGACTATTGGAATACCAACTATATCTAAGATCTTACTGGTTCACACATAACATTTGATACTAATATTACTTCAAAATAACCAAATCCTTATATGTTTGGCCTTTAGTCTACTAAATGAGTATTTATTATTGAGGCAATATTTATGGTATGGTCCGCTTAAATACTATAACTTATAAAAAAGTCCGTTTTATTTGAGTGATAAATACGATTATCATCAGAGCTAATATGGATTCTGTGAGCTTTTTCATTGATAAGATTTGATTATTCTATACTGTCACAAAACAAAGTCTTCTATTAATGATAGCACACTATTTATTTACAGTTCTGATAAATGTATTCAAGTGAATTAATTGAGCAAGCAGTCCTTTTGTTATCAAAAAACACTTTCTGAACGAAATCATTAGTAAACTTATAGAATGTTGAGTTTTATGAAAGCTTTATCAAGTCATCAGTATCAGACAGAAAAGTGATAAGATTAACATCATTATCGCAAACAAAATAATTTAAGAAACATTTACTAAGTTGACGTATATTATGGTTACAGTTCATACACTTTCTATGTTAAGTAACACGAAATGCAGTACATAAATGTGAAAACATGAACATATTGTGTGTGGATCAAAAGTTATTGTTTATAATATTTACATTCCATTCACTTACAAGTAAGTTCCAACAAAACCAGTGATAATAAATAGACCTAAATACGGATATTGTAAAATTTTTGATAAAATAAGTAAAAGGTTTCATAGTCTATGTAATGAATCAATCACAGTAACGCAAACACTAGAAATCAGGAAGTACTGAACAACTGTTTCATCTAGTATTGAACTCTTCAACAGTGCGCCTCCACGAATCCACTAAGGATTGAATCAAAGACCTCCCGGTTTTTAAGTCAACGACTTTGGGAAATAGTTGCGTAATATCTGGAATTGGTTGAAGTCAAACATGTATACCAATAGATGACAACTCAGGAGTTTAACTGTTAAGGGTTCACTGTCAAACTAACTGATCCTTGGTTCGATCCCCCATGTAGTTGCGGATGAACACTGACGAAAAGTTTCATAACAATACATAACAGCTGTTCAGTGCTTCCAGACTTTCAATGGTTGTTTAATTAGGATCCTCACGTTTTACAAACTAAACGAATTCAACAACCCCCGAAAACCTCCCTACAGTCAAAATCCGCAAACTATATTCCACGTGGCTAAACCCACCATTTCCTCACATATAACGATGCACATAAGTTAATCAAGTAGAAATATAACGATTAAAATGATTTATTAGCTTTTTGTATTACAGTTGACTAATTAAGATAAATTCAAAACAGTCCACTTTCAAGATATATTCTTTATGTATGAGCAATCTCGACACTGTATTAAGGTCATACTGAGGTAAATATTGTTGCTGACGCACAGTAACCAGTGAATTACTTATAAGACTTTGTAGAATGAAGTATTTCTACTTCAGAAGATCAACTATACATGATACTTGTAAATATCCAAATGGAACGTGATCATTAAATTGGAAGCTTCCCTGCTTGCACAGCTGATATGAAAATAATGTATAAAAATGAATGTTGTTGAGTGTTTGAAACATTCACAGTATAATTTTATATCATATAAAAGATTATTTGCAATGCTTACAATGTTCAATAAACGTGTTGCATCTAGAGATACCGGCAGTTTATTAATTGAGTGGTGGATATTAGAGTGCAATTATTAATGAAAATTTAATTCTGAGCGAATGGAATAATTCGTAGCTGTCTGCTATAAATATGTCAATATAGAGCAGCCCAATTCTATGAATGGAAAATGAAAATATAATGGAATTTAGGATTTGAAATAAAATCTTTAAGGAAAATTATGCTTATGTACTTCACTCACCTTCTAAATCAATGGAAAAATGGACGAAAGTTCTGTGTACAACACTCAGTGAATATTAAAAAAGCTGTGAATAACTTCAGAAAAATATGCATATGCTTAGTGTTGAATTTAGCACTGTTATGTGAATGTCATATTTGAAGGAATCAATCACATGATAACCAAGTATTTGAAAGAAAGTTGTTATTATGTATACTAATAATGCAGGTAGCACCAATTTACTTAATCTACACCAAATGTATGGTTACAAGAAGTCTTCTCTTCAAAATAAATCATTTATTTTTTAACATGTGTTTATATATTTCTAAAAAACGGAATAACAAAAACTGTTCATTCTTGAAATCATAAAATATCTTTATACGAATATTAAACAATTGAAACAATACTTTCGTGATCATTTTATAGTATCTTCCAAAAGTATATTGTAGCTTTCTTTGAACAGTTCACCGTGTTACTTCTGTCGATTCACATACACTATTTTTTGTTCAGTTGTATATCACAGTACATTCTTAAATAACGACCTTTCAAATTTCGTGTTAACTCATAGTGTTAAATATAATCATAGGTTGAATGTTGATTTTATAGGTTTATCTTTATTTCATTTTCATCTTTTATCACTTTCTGCTCAGAATTGTTGTTGAAAACGAAAATGATTATGTGATAGTGATTAAAGAGTTAGTTGTTTTTTAGAAGGGTTGGAGGAAAAATAAAAAAATCAATTGGTTGTTGCAAACTCAGCCGTAAGATATGCAAACCCAGAAGAGAGTAGAATAGGTTGTTGTAAACCAATAACTTAATCGAATTTATATTGGTTTGGACTATCTTGTTGTTGACAATCTAACTGAAATCTGATCACTTCTATTTGGGATATGTACATATTGTGAGAATTACTTCAATATGACCATTATAGGACAAGTTTATATAGAATTGATTGGATGTGGCTAGCTGTGGAATCCAGGATGCATCTTTCATCCTATTTGAAACTTTTCAGCTACATGCACCTGTATTCTAGAGTTGATATTTACAAGTGAGTGGCTACAAAGACTGAGTACTTAAGTGGATAACGTGATGACCTTTGATGTAATGATACTGAGCTTGGGTCGTGGAGTGAATAACTATATGGGGATATAGATATATCCAGCTGAAGAGTCCCGAATAGGGTGAAATGCATGTCTTAGATGTTATTGTTAACCACGTTTTATCTGTTCTGTATCATATATTAGTATTTGAGAAACACTAATTCAGGGATGTCAACAATCCACAAGAACGAAACAGAAACTGAGATTCATACTAAATACATAAGAACTGATTAGTTCATTTGCTCTCATATAAGATTTTCAGGCTTCCCCTAAGTGATGCTAATTTCCTTTGTGTTTTACTGTAATTTTTCTCCGACAATCTAATCTAGTTTCTTTTTTTCGTAAAATGCAAGGATGTTAATAGATTTCATATTATTTTCTTTGATCTTTCTCTCTTTATCATTTTTTAGAGCGCTTTTCAATGTGAAGAAGAGCTCAGATCACTTCAATAAGCTTTACTTAATAATGAAAGCTTTTATCTTATTGAATGAAACAGTTGACATGGAAAATGGTTGTTTGTTTAATAGTTAAGATTGAGCTTGTGATCATAAATCAATAGAAAAACTAACTAATTAGCAATGGAAGTAGGAATTATTTCATAATACCTATGTAAACAAATTTATGCATGAATAATAATGATGGTTCAATATTTAATTTCTTGTTTTTGAATATTCAGTCAATCTACATAATGGACTAACGATTTAGTAACAAATTATTTTGCAGTTTATGATATGGATTATTTTACGAATGTAATTCCCACACCTAAATTGACTAGCAACTGTAAACAATTTTCATTTAATTCCAAGAATTTCGAGCCATGACAACAAAAGTAGCCCAATATATTGTTCATGAAAACATAAAAATCATTAAAAAGAGAGAGAAAATTTTCTCAATCAATGGTCTTTTTCTCAAAGAAAATTGAAATAAACCACTTTTCACTATTTTTGAGCATGTATTAAGATTTTACACTTGTAAAATTCTATGAAGTATGGTATATAGTTGTCAAATGTACGTTTCCTCACTCGTAACTATGAAACGACTTGTGTCATTTTATTCATTAAATGCTGGTCAGAAGGAAACTGAATACAAAATTTCAAGTTGTAACTGAAAACACATGTAGTTTAACATGCTTTTGGAAAAAGGTGGAAATTGAGCATCGTTTGTAAAAAAAGATCCAGTTAGGTAACTATGACATTCTGCCGTGAGACTGTTCGTCGTATTTTTGCTAATGCTTTTAACCTCCAATACAATTTTGATTGATATATTTTGTTCAAAACCCAGTCGTGTGAACATTTGATCAAAATACGATCAAGTTATTCTTTAATCGAAGAGTCGTTAAGTCGTACGAAGTTACAAATACTTTTGTGACCACAATACCATTTCTGCATACATCAGTCTACATAGACAACCCTTAATATTAGGTATATAAATATTTCGGAATTTATTACAACTCCGTTGCTGTCTAAGCCCTTATCTATCACTCAATCGATTAGTCGCGATTAAGAGGAATTATATAACTCGGACCAAATACTGCAAAGCTAATTCAAACATATTTTGGGAAACATACATTTTAGATAGTCATGGTTAATTACCCTATCTTCTTACCTTGTTCCAACAATCTCCATATTTATATTATGAAATCAACATCAAATAAAGTGTGAGGTTAAAGTAGTGATAAGGACAGAATACGGTTATTAGAAGAATGTGAAATAAGAACCAGACATAACTGACTCGTTTTTGGACAATAAAAAACCCTGGTCACATGTCATTCTTATGTATTAGTCCAATGGTTTGTACTGTCTAATTGGTCAACTCGGGTATTTTTTCTGTCTTTAATGTAATGCGTTTGAAATGTTCCTCATTAGTGTTTTGTCAGCTTTAATTATAGACACGTTTTGCTATTGTATTGTTATTCTAGGGCATATAGTGCCTACAGTTTTCATTTTACTGATTGGATTGTTGAGCCCACATCTATGGTTGATACTGACTGCTTTTTCCATAATCAATAGTTGAAATGAAGTTTTTCATGGTCATGGCTATCAGATAACATAATAGTTATTTGTGAGCACTTCATATTGTCTGTCTATCGAATAGTTTCTCTTAAGTTAAAAGGTTGACAAAATAAATCTTACTGACCATGACTCACTTTGCTTTGTTGTGAATGTTGCGTCAGTTTACTTACACTCAATTGTAGGCTTTTTGATATTTGTGTTTGGCATAGTTCCTTATTCTGGCTGTTAGTAAATGTCATACTACCATATTTTTTCATGTTTGTCAATATCACCATATTGATTATAGGAACTTGAGGCTATTTAATTTTATACTACAAAGTTATCTCAATTTTAAAATTGTGATTGTAATGATTTCCAAAATTTTATATACAACTTTGTCGAGACATCTTTTTTCTTATCAATAATCATTTATTCAATAATTTAAATGGTAAGTAGAAATCAGTGTTTAAGACCACTTGTCATGACTTCCGCTGTTCTAACTAAAGGCTTAGAAAAGAGGAAATGTCTAATTTATTTCGAGCGTATAAAAATACAACAAGATGTAGTCTAAAAGGACTATGAGTATTTTAAACAGTCCATTATTTTGATCGAGGAATCACCTATTTGATTTAATTTCTTTCATTTGATCACAATGAGGAAATAAACTGACTTAATATATACTGAAAAAAACATGAACATTTGTTGATTTCAATTTCACTTAGGAGTTGAGATTAATACATTGTTAATGAGGCAGTAAATCGCTACCACATAAAGGTCGAATTCATAAATTCATCGTTCATAAGACGACTTGTAAAGGCAACTTGTAAAATATACTTTCATTCGAAATAACTGTTTTACTTCAATCGCTTAAAAGATATAAGATACATTCAAGAAAATTGTATGCATTTGTAGACAATAACTTTTTGTATGTTCATTCCCACGTGCTTATCAATGACTGATTTCAAGTGATAAATCATTGAGTTCTAGTAGAGAGTTAAATCATATTAGGTGTGAGATAAATATGTCCATTGTCAATCTATAATGGTTACGCAGCATCCCTTATAAAGATGTATATTATTAAATGCCGATTGAGTGATTTGAAGGTTAAGCATCGGCTGAGATATCTGATGGTTGTGGGTCTGATCCCTGGTGCGGTCATCACTATATATCACCGAGAAGTCCAATACTAGAATAAAACAACTGTCCATTCGGTTCTTAGTCTACATACATCCTCTTTCTTTTCTATTATTTCTCATTTTTTAGATTCTCCTTATTAAACTTTCTATCCGTTCACAAAAGAAACGCAATTATATATTAGATATAAACCTATTACCAATTGGACATTGAAAATTTTATATTTATTTTATTTAAATTTCCGTCTGTATACAAAGAAATCATTCACACTTTCGTTTATAATCAATCAAATTTTATTTTTGACAGAAAATATATAATTATTATCAAACAATTTAGGTTATCAAGGTAGTGAATAAATGTGTATATTTACTAGATAATTAATAGGTAAAATAATATACAAGTTCATTAGCATAATTTAAATTATGAATTAGAATTAATATCCGTTTTATTATTATTATTAT